ACTTTATATTTAATAAGTAGGAGTACTTGACCTTGAAAAGGAAGAACTCATTCTGAATTTGGAATAATCGCAGCCTGAAGGAAATATTACGCGGATCTCTGCTCTTCTACAAACTAGAGCTACAAACTCTCGCGTAATTACCTAATTTCCATCAAGCCTTTTCCACAATTCAACAAAGAAAGCCCATCAAAGTTTTAGTTACATTTACCTTCCGAATTCGTTCCAGTATGCCCCGTGTCTCTTTATTTTAACCAAGAACAAAATGACACAGAGGTTGTCTCTTCCATTAAAGAAAATGATAGAAAACGTTTCGTTGACGAACATGTAGAGATGCGCATAGGTAAAAGGTTACCTGCAAACACGGCCATGCAGTAAATTGCGGCCGCAATTGCGCGTTCTCGTTTCGTCTATGTTTCATCAGATTCGAGAATCGTTCCAGCTTGGAGAAACCAAGAACAACGTCGATTGCGTGTCTCAGATGAACGACATTCCTGAGATCGAACTTTATCATCGCGATATTTTACTTGCCGATTTTGCTATCAACGTGATCTTAACATTCAACTGATATTGTTAGCTTAGAAATTAAAATATTTAATTTTAGATCATTTAATTCTATTTAGTGACTACATTTCGTAACAAAGATAATTTTCATCATATGAAATACAGAATACTAAATAAGATTTATGTGTCCCGAAGTTAAATACATTGGTCGAAATTTGTATGTACCTAACTATATCAATTGAGCGTTAAATCCGATGAAATCATTAGAGGCTATTCTCGTAATTGCTAGAAGGATACTAAATCAAAGGGAGAAGACGCTGAAGAGTGCACAATTACCGTTGCGTTGTTACCGGTAATCGTGGGGAAGACAGAGGCCCTTCAAACAGGACACGTCCTCGAAGATGGAATCGAGCGAGTTTGGAACGAGAGATGTTGTTCCATTGTGCCATTAAATTATTTGTGTCTTGTAATTCGTATAGAAATCGGTTGATAGTTTTATCAAAACGTTATTGAACAGATGATGATATTTTTCAAAATCAACCAATCACTTTATACCAATTGGATATATATTAAAAACTACCAGACGAAACTGACCAATTCGTAATTTTTCATAGAGAGTTTACGGATTTACAACGATGAATTCTTAGCGATTAAATCAATTTTTCATGAAGTGCATGAAAAGAAATTTGTTTTCCTCGTTTCATAACATATTTTCTAATAAATCTTCCACTTCTATCTTTTTTCGCCATCCACTTCGCGTTTCAATCGTCGGTATTTCCAATATTAAATATTCCGCCAATTAATTCATCTCTACATCGTCAAAAGTATCCCAGCCATAGCGTCGAATTAACATCACTATCACGAGCTACTTAAATCGTATATTCAAATTTAGAGGAGGATTCGTTCCAATTTACACTTAACTACCCTCGTCACGCACGCCAACGATGTATACACGCGTTACGTTACCACATATAGCAACGTTAAAACTATACCTAGCTACTACAGCCAATGGAACATCGTTTCTCGTTGGTTAGAGTTTCCTGGACACACGAAACTCTCCAATCCACTGTATCGTGGTGAGGGAGACATTGTAACCACCGAACCTATCCTCTGTTCGCTGGATAAAACAAGAGTTTCGTAGTGCTAATTTAGTGCAGGTGTTACCAAACGGATGTGACGCGTAGCCTTCGCGAAGTGTCCATCGGGACGGCGGATTTACACTGGAAATGGCTGCTCGATCATCCGTCTATCCACGGAAATTACATTCCCGGATATCGGATTATTTTTGCGTTGAACGATAACGTTCCGTTGTTTATTCATTGCTGTAGAGTACCGTAAAGGTCGCTTTTAGTCGGCTTATATTTCGTTGAAGGCAAACGAGTAGGGACCATTGAAAACTTTCACTCGGTGAATAGAATGAATAGAGTAATGATGCAAGTTTCTCAAATGTGCAACTAATCTAAAATATTTCACAAAATGATAATGAGAAAAGCATGACAAAATGAGAGAAGACGGACTGTGATGAAATTGAAATTATAAATAGAGAATTAAATTTAATTCGTAATAAAATTTCACGATTCAACATAATACACAGAAAGGTTTCAAGAAAATCATAATTTTCGAGACAGTTCTATCTTTCTATGAAACTCGTTTCCTCCTTAACAGTTTAACTGGCAGAGACATTTCGAAAGACTTGATGCTTTAATTAAGACTCAATAACTCCTGTACTTGGGAGAAACCGAGTGGGCATTCGCGATACTCGGCCAATTTACTCGTTTTCTCAAAACGACCCTGTCTTTCCGAGCTAAATTAATGAAAATTGTTGTGTCGCATCGCCCGTCGTGGGAAACGTTCTAATTCCACAATCGTTATTTGAGGGATTTTTCGAGGCTTCCGCGTCGAATTAAATGGACTTGTCCGAGAGATTCTCCGACCAATTTACGCTTAGAAAGACCTCTCTCTTTATTTCGAAAAGTAACAATCGCCTAGCCGATGCCCGTCTTAAAAATCCTATTTAGAACGAACCACAGCGACGTCTTTCGTTATGTATTTTTCTTTTTTGCTTTTCTCTTTTTCTTTTTTAACCAAGATACCGAGATAGCAGTTTTTCTGATTTAGAAAAGTCACTTCTCGCGTTATCGAAGAGGACGAGGGAGGAATGGAAGAGTAATCGAATGGAACGCGAGGATTCTAGATGTCTCGAATTCGAGCTTACAAGCATCGAGCATCGTTGGCTTTGTGCATTCCTGACCGGTGGATGTGATTAAATATCGATCGGCTGCTATGTCAGGAGAATAAGACTGGCCGTGTAAATAATTTCGCTGAAAGTGCTTCATATCGTAGGCATAATTGAAACGCGTCCAGCCACGGTAGAGAATAAATGGAAAATAAAACGCGGAAAACAAAAGGAAGAATAAAAAGAGACGCAATCAAAGTAACGAGGAAAGAGAAATATATTACCAGGGACTGAAAAAAAATTCACATCAACACCGTGAACGAACGTAATGATAAATGAATACGTTCTTTAAGTTTCGATCAATATACGCTAAGAATAATTGATAATTCGATATCGGTTAATCAATACCAGGGACGATGCTCACCGTAGCTGATACACAGTCTGGGGAACGATCGACTCTCCGTTGATATATTGCACACCGGCTATTTTTTACAGAGACACGCCAACATGTAAAATCCTGCCATTGGATAAGGCAAAACAGTCACGTATCCACGGCGAACGAAACAAGCGGTCCAAAGTAATTAAACTATATCGTCGATCGTCGCCGCTCTGGCTATGACAGCTTCCGATTGAGCATTTTGCTAAATTCAATAAAACTTTTGCTTCTTCGTGCACACGGAATCAACTCTATTGATACGCGTTCGTTTTCTTCCTGTCTCAACCTCGTATTCTCTTTTGTGCTCGCTCGGATCGTTCTCGCGCCAGCTTTCAATAACGCGACAATAAAACCATCTGGTTCCCGTAAAAATCGCTGCGATAGCGCGGAGGCACGCAGGAAGGTGTACGACGAATTTTTCTCAAGGTTTTGGAAAGCACATATACAACTTTGATTTAAGGGAATTAATGGAGATTGATGACAGCAATTTTAATTTTCGAGCGGATTATCACAGAAACATAAAATGTTTTTGACATGACGAGATGTCAGTGTGGTCAGATAAAGAAATTTGTTTTTGAAATAGATCTCTTTGAGTTTTACTACAATTCTATATATTCAAAGTTATATCGATGAAGGATAAAATTGACCGCATTATCGGTACAGTAATTTCTACTTCTATAAAATTTCAGACCATTCAATGAAATGAAAATGTGACCATAATTAAATAGCACTTCGAAAAATTACATGAAAGTATTTAATACAGAAGAAATTTCTTTACTCGTCGAAGGATAATTATAGAAAATTGTTCCTACTGAGAATTCACTTCTGAAATAAAATGTCTAATCGATTCTGTACGCAAGTACGTTCGGTTAGATAGAAACTGCGGAGGATCTTATCTTCGCAGGAACCTTTCTATGTCGAAGAAATAAGTTTTCCTTTTGCTCGCCACGAGATTTCGTCGGCCTTTTACATTTACGATTGTGGGACGGAACCGGTCAGCCGTGCCGATTGTGCAGATCGTAGCACCCGATATTCACGAATGAAAAGCCGGGATTCCGCGGTACCACAGCGAAAGAAGTAGAAAGTGGGCGGAATAAGGGTAACGGCAGCGATAAGTGGGATAAAAGAAAAAGGAAATTCCTGATAAACTGTACGGGGAAACTAATCCTGACGGCAAACATTTTGAGATATTACAATTAGAATGGTTGCTTTTATGTTTCATCTTACGATTGATTGAGATTGCAGGCGTTTAATTAATTAACACTATAATCGTAATTTCAGTGCTATCTCGATGACATAGATGTTAATTTAACAAAGTTCTTATTTCAATCTTTTGATGTAACACAGTACAGATGCATTTATAATTAAAAAAAATTAGATTTATCAAATATATATAAAATTACAGGTCTAGTTTTTTTCAAATGACGATAATATACCTCTTTTCTTTTTTATTTACATAAAATGATTATTACAGGGGAAATGGAACTTACAGCATCAACGATAAACACGTTAAGACAGATCGGCATTATACATGAACGTTAAACCGTGTTTAATATATGCAAATGCACGTTACCGTAACTTGTCCGTATCTAGGAATTAGTGGAATTTAGTTTGAGCAAACTTCCTGAATACTGATTGGCAATGGTTGAGTTGTAAAGATCGACCTACATTCCCAAAGATTGACCTTTATTCGCATCTATCTCGAGAGACCCGATAGAAGAACATCCGTCTACAGCTTTCGTACAAAAATTTATCATAATCCTTATAAATTCAGATATTTCTAATAATATTGTCAACTTCGATCGATATAAACTCTGTACGTAAAATACATAGAATACACGATTACAATCGATACTCTCTTATTAAAACTACTATTCTCTGTTTTAGGTGACAGTCAGGGACGATGGAAGGCCATCTTTGTCCTCGACGACCCGCGTCGTGATCGCGGTGGCAGACATAAACGACCACGGTCCAGAATTCGAGCAAAAGTTCTACACCGTTCAGATCCCAGCATCACCATCTACCGACAAACCACTGTTCCAGGTAAGCTACCACCTCCGGAATTACCCTAAAATCGATCTTCGTAATTCTATCCGACCTTCTAGTTGACAATTAGGAACTGGCATCGCACCATTTTCTCCGAGTCTCGATGTAATCGAAGAAACAGACAGTCGTCTGTATTCTGTCCCGTTTCGTTTTTCTCTTTGTCTCTTTGTACACCAAGTAGAAGTAATCCCCCGTATCTTGTTGTATATACATATTATCCGTTCGCTCGTGAAGAATCATCCCCCGTCCCGCGACAGGTGTACCACTCGTCCAAATGTACGTATGCCAAACCGAAGGGAGCCGCGAGAGTTGGAATGGACAATTAAAGAGTTGTAAAGGATTCGGGAATTTTCAGTAAATTCGAAAATTTTGATTCCAATTCGAGGAACTGTTCTCTTTTCGAAGTGCAAGTTTCGACTCACGTGCTTCCCTTGAGCCGAGCGCAAACCGATCGGAAGTGAACGTTACCGAGTGAAATTTAACACAAGCTAATCTTTTAATAGTATCGACAAATCTATGGGCTTGAGAGTATGGATTCTAGTTTGATAGTTATCGAAGTTTGATATTATAGTATGTAGTGTGATGTTAAAGTTTGTTGAACGTAAGGTATCTGTTATTGGCTATGCTTCTCTTACCTAAAAGAATTATTATTCTACTTTTTATAATTATTGCACATTGTTTTTAAAGAGCGCTATCTCTATTTCTAGAATTATTAAAATTAAATCACTCGAGGATTATGTTGCTGAAAATTAACATTAATTTACGATTACCACTTCCCTGCAAATCAGTAGCGTTCACTTCGAACAGACCAGTTTCGCTGTCGGCTTCGGTCACCCAATCAAACCGTCTGAAAATAGTGTCAGAACCTCACGCTTTTCTGTAATGAAAGCCAAAATCTTCCAACAGAACCAACTGTATCGATACCGAAACGTCGCTTCCCAAACCCACCTATTTGTTGGCGATTGCTTGGAACCTGTCTTAATTTTGTACGCATATATCGCACGACGTACTCAACACGATACCGAAATGTAGAAAAATTCTGATATAAAGCTCATGAGAAAATAGGAAGAAGGAATGAAGAATGGGTCGGTCGCTCGTTATCGAAAGTGTTCTTTCTTGGAGACTTGTTTTCGATGTGATCAAAGCAACCCACCGGTGACTATCATAGCGTGAAAGAGTTGAGAGATTTAGCACACGGACACCCTCGCACGGAATTCTCCCGCAGACTTGTCGTTCTTCGAATTTACGGCGAGAAGACACACTCCTGGTTACGCGGTGGCGCTTTTCACGCGTCGGCAACTTTGGGATCCTGAGGACGGAAATCGCGGTTAACGAGTTCCCTTTGTGACGACCTTTGGTCCACCGCTGTTCTGAGAACTAGCGATCGATCCTGGCCTCTACTGCTTTCAATTTTGCGCGTTACTATTTGTTTAAAAACATATAGAATGGACGTTGGCCGATTTATTGAGATATTAACCGTAAATAATACGTCACGTTCAGTTTTATGTCTTTAATCGCTTCAATGGTTACGATATGTTTGTGTCGAATGAAGTTTCAGTCAGACACTTATTGAATAGTAAAATTGAAGTAACTAAAATTGTATTTGGGTCACATTAGGATCGAAGGAGATTAAGTTTGTACAGAAATTAAGCGGACTGTAGTTGCATAAATTATTATTATTTAATTTATTTTGCAGGAAAGATGCGAAATATTTCAGTTTAGGATTATCAACATATTTGAGAGAAATCTGTCGCCGTGTGCAGTACAGTATTATTCTAACCTTTGCAGCGTGGCTATTACGAAACATTCCATGAGCTGCGAGAATTTAGTAACAGTGTTTTGCAATGTTAAAAAATGTTCTCTGACCTTTTGCAGTATGCTACAAGTTCCTGACGTTTTATAATAATGTTGAGTATAATTGTGAAATATTCCATGTTATTCAGGGGATTTTACTACAATGTTTGCATAGTATTGTAATGCATTTCATAAGAGTTTAAAGCTTCTCAGAATGTAAATTTCGACGACATTCTTACGTTAAACACCGCATACGTCACATTAAAATCGAAATATTTCACGTTGTTTTTAATCATTTTCAAACAAACGTAATTCACTTCGTTCACATAGAGACGTTATTAATTGCTGGTAGTATTACGTTACTACGTGTACGTTCGAAGCTTGTTAAATATTTGCGTAATTCGAAATTTCGCTAGGGGAAATAAGATAATAAATGCTGTTATCGAAGGCAGTAGAGGGAGGAATCTGATTAATCCGATGTCAACAGTGACAATAGCTTTCACAATATACCAGGAATATTCAATATAGTTTTCCACCAACGTCGAATTTTGTCGAGGCCAGATTTGATTTCGACGGATATAAAGTTACGATTGCTCGTTTTCGTAATTTCGGTCGGTCATCGTGTACTACGATCGAGTTTCAACTTCTACCCGGGAAAACGCGTTTTACATACCGCATACGTTATGCCTATTCTCGTTACAGGATATACGATTAATTAAATTAAAATTCTTCCAACAAAGAAAAGAGCTACATTTGATATAAATTTTATGCAATAAATTTGCAATAAATTAGAAATACCCTAATTCTTACGCGCAGTAGCGTACTTGAGTCGTCAAAAAATCGCATCATTGAAGGAAGAGGATTTAAAGCGTAGGTCATGGATCAAATAAAAATACCATCTATTTCACTCGCGCCGTTTAAAACATCGTTAACCGCAATTTCGATAAATTGTCTTTCGCATTTACTGAAGAAAATATTCTCCACCGTATTCGCCAGTAGTACGTTTCGAGCGGTTTAGTGATTGGAAAAAGATCAACTGGTCAAAGCCAGCAACTACTTTCGATCGACGTGGCAGGGGAAAAAAAAGAAAAACACGCGGAGGAGAGGGATGAAAGCGAATTAGCGGAGATAATGCGAAAGTTAAAAGGCTTCCTTCTCTCGTTCTCGACAGAAATCGAGGAACCGCTCGCGGGAGTTCGACCTTTCGATCGATACGTTACTAGAGAATGGAACTTGGGAGACATTTAGCCCCGACAGCTTGTCAGGAGATCCTATCTTCAGGGTAAGGACACCGTTGGCACGTAAAAAAAAAAAAAAAGAAACTAAAAACGCCGTCTCGTGGCACGGGAGCATAAATAATTTCTGCGTAAAAACGTGAAATTGGTCTCGGGTAGTTTACACGAGCTCTTGTGCATTGATTTATGACCCGCTTTTATGTATATATATATATATTTTATACATATATTATATGTATATCGACTGTAACGTTCGTTCTAATTATGATACTGCATTTTCATGCAACCCCGCTCTGTGCCCGTTTTTTTATAAATAGGAGCCGCCATGCATTCCGTCTACTACTTGATCGATCGTCTTTTGTCCTTTTTGCCCGATGCAACCCTTCTTTTTGTACACACGAAGAGTCTCTTGAATCTCGCGCATCATGCGACTCTGAGCGAAACTTTGAACGTAGAACCGAAAGATATCGGTATGGCGGGGGAGAAAAAGTTGATTTTCAATGAACGCAAACCACTGCTGCTGCTACTTCGTACGCTGAACCCCGGGTAATTGAGGCTCATTCGTAGCTGTCCGGGGATTTGGGTCGAGAGTGGAATTTATCTCCCCGAGTTATTAAGTATCAAGTGCTCACCGGCTTCTTAATTGCATTCAGAGTTCATTGCTCTCTTTTACTCAGGGGGGAGACTAAAAGAATTCGATATGCCTTCGGTATTTCTAATGCGTTCGAAGGAAAACTCGAGGACTTAATTATACCTCGAGTGCCTTTTAACCGAACCGTTGTTCCGGGTGTAAAACTTCAACTTGCTTTTTTTATCCTTTACGAATTAACGCGGTTCTCTAAATGCGTTTATCGTTACGATATTAATCATAAAATACTCGAAATAGCTTTAAACGACTTGCGCTAATTTCGAAAATTAATTTTAAAATCCATAGGAATATTAAAGGATATATTTAATACGATTACCATTTCAGCAACATGTCAAAACTTGCCAAAATGTCTTTTTAATTCCCTGCCAATTCAAATTCTAAACGTTATCCCAAAATATTATTTAGAATGAGATCTTTTATGAATATGAAACGAGACGTTCGCTCAGAATCGCATCATGCGTGGCCCCTTTCTCCATCAGCTCTTTGTATGCGTCCATCTCGAACTCTTCGTCGCGTCTTGCCCGTTTTGCTCGTTTCTTTGTATGTATATATATATATATACGTATGTATATTATGTTCTTGAATTTTTGCATTTGTCTGTTCGAGGCTGTCGCCTGATCATTTTTCCGTCTTTTCTTTCTTCTTTTTTTTTTCCTTTTGTCGTAATTAATAAAAATCATGGCATCGGGGCAAGCCGCTAAGTACGAACGCATGACGCGGAAATGAAAAAGAATGGAATGAAAGGGAATGCTCGTAGCGGACCAGTTTTCTTTCCCACGTATTGAACGGTGTTACTTCGAGAATGAAAATTGCTTTAGGCCATTGCAGCTATATTAATTACTGGGAAACTATACAGAATGTCTTGTTAGGTGTCGTAACTCGAGCTTCTTTAAGTGCATCGTTGCTTCTAATCTATTAACTAATAAATTTAAACTAGGAATGTTAATACGGCGTACGAATCACCAATACCTTGCACCGATCTGTTTATTATTTGTTTTATTTCCATGACTGGAAGTTTCAAGCATTCTTTACGGTATTCACTCAGATCTTCCATTACAATGCTATTTATTTTTTCAATTGAGTAATTAAATGCCATTCGTGTCATTCAAACTCGTTATCGCCTGAGAAACAGTGCCAAAACTCCATCAAAAAAAGTAAATTCTCTTATCTTAAATTTCCAACTAAATAATTTAATTTTTAATTCGATTTATCAATCGAAAAGGTCACTCTGCTTACCGAGTGATCTATAAAAATCCTTTAAAATGAAATCGAACGTCAAACGAGAGCCGCCATCAAAGGAAGGCCTCGCGGATCAAGAGGAAAAAATCGTGGGTTAGAAAACCGGCAGCCGATAATAAGCTCTGGCACACGGGGGAAACATGTTCGTTGCGGAAGAAAAGGCAAGCCCGGCATGAAGACTCAGCCCGCCATTTAATGAACCGGCGACGATACATTTTTCCGCGCGGTTCCGCGTGCATCAGCTCGTAGCATCAGCTCAAAACATCGCGTTCGATCCGTGCCTGCCCGCGGAAAGAGCGCGCGGCCTGTGTTTTAATACGCTTTAATGCAGATCGATATTTGGCAATACGGGGAGGCGGAGGTTTCCGGCGTCTCCGTCTGTTCCGCCTCCCCTGTGTTCTTTCTTTCTGTATGTTTTATTTCTCCCCGCTCTTTTTTTTTCTTTATTCATTTCGTGTACCGCATGCTGTCGACTGTGTGAATGCTACGCTTCGAGGTCACGAGCGCAATGTTTCACGATGGATCCAGAGGGAGCAAGACTGAATGAAAGAAGGAAAGAGAAAATAAAAGTATGAGAGAGGGTGTGAGGAAGGTGAATTGAAAAATTTTAGAGCGTGAACGAAATGTTTTAGACAGAATGAGTTGTTTTCTTATTTTAAAATTCTTCTTTTCTTTCTCGTGCTAGATTTGCGTATCTACTTACATACGTAGATTTCATTCGTCGACGAATGCAGACGCGTTCCGCTTTTTCTCTTTCATTTTTTTCTGACGTTCACACTCGGCGTTTGCACCCTGTGTGTGTGTGTGTGTGTGTGTGTGTGTCTGTCTGTCTGTCTGTCTGTTTGTTTGTCCGTTTACGAATGCGAGTATGGAGGTGTGTAATCGTACACACACAGGGTATATCGAGGCTTTTCTTTCCGGACAATTTGCGGCCGCATTTCCGGAATAGCATTATGAATTAGAAGCAGCTTGATACTTGCGAATCGTTCGAGATTCCTTTTCTCTTTCTTTTGATACAGCCGATGGCCGATACTAATGTTCTCTTTTATGTCGTGTACAGCTATGTTAGTAGAGAATGAGAAAACGAAGGAAGCAGGCTTGAAAAGGTTGGTTCTCATTTTTCGTTTGTGTTCCTGTACGATAGGTACTCGCGAACGATAAAGACATTGGTGATAACGGGAAAATCCAGTACAGTATCAAAGGTGGTCGCGGTAAAGGCAAGTTCAAAATACATCCAACTACGGGAATGGTGTACTCGCAACGTGGATTTGAAGCTGGACAGGAATACGAGATGATGGTAAGTGGGATGATAGAGAAAATTACATATTTATTTATTATTATTATACATAGAAATATTCCTGACTTTTCGAACAATTAATATTATGAAATATACTAATTAAATATGGATAGACTCGGGAAGAATTAAACGATCGATTGTGGCCTAAATATGAAACAGATGAATATTAAAAATTAAACGTTAAATTTAAACAGAAAAATAAATAAAATATGACAATATATGAATATATATAATCTACGCGAATAAAGAAAATAAATAGAAACCCATCAATTTATTCTTCGTTGTTTGGATTACTATAAATAATTTCAATCCTAAATGAATCTAAATTGAAATCACGTTTGATTTAATACTTGCTACAAAATTTACCTTAATTTTTCGCGATTTCTCTGTTAATTAAAATACCAGCATTTAAAATGAGTTCGACTTATAGTTAAAGTCTGAATTAAACGCTTGTTACGATCGATCAAAACGTTTCAGAGGGACGATGAATCGCGTAGAATAATTGAACAATTCTTAGTCAAAAAATTAAACAGAAACATTAACTCTACGATGTAGAACCGTTTCGCCGCAAAGGGTTTCGAGCGTATTTTGAACGAAGCACCCTGTAAATCCAACGCGGTCTGTTCAGAAGTCATAATTCATGGTCGATCGGGAAACAACGTTCCCTTAATACAATTTAAGTTTGAGCTTAACTTGACCGCGCACGCTTCTGTTTGCCAGATAAGGGCCGCCGATAGCGGAGAACCGCAGCGCAGTCATCAAACACGGGTATCCGTGCAAGTTGTCGAGGTTCCGAAGGAATCCGAGAATCCGCCAGTCTTCAAGACGAACAATCAGACCGTCGAGGTTACAGAAAGCGACGAGGTGGGCTTCCTCGTGGCATTGGTTCAGGCCGCGGACAAAGATGGCGATTCCCTGTGGTATGATATTGTTGGTGAGTTTTACTATTTTACGTTATTGTTGAGAAAATTAGTTATTTCATATTGTATTCAAGGAATTAAATTGGATGGAATAAAATAATAGCATGAGAGCGTATTGGTGGTTATAAGTTTCAGTCGATCATTTGTAGTCAGTTTTGTAGTCAGAATGTGTTAGATACGTACGAAACGTTTTTACAAATAAATATATCTAATATCTTTTTGTTAACAAAGACTAAGTCAGAAAAGAAAGTAATTTACAATTGAATGAATTTTTTAAATCTATCTCCCTGAGCGATAAAAGAATAATCTATTCTTAATATGTATTTTATGGCTGATAGCAATTTTATTTTCTCGTATTGCTGGGTAATTAATTTGAGTGCTGTATCCGTGTTAGCGGAGTTTGAAAACTCGTTAGAATTCAGTCGGTCACGATATCTTGTTAATTGGCGAAATATCGAGTGATTTCGTTGGAATACATTCGAGTGGTTGGAATAGCTCGGGGCCTGAATAACATTTTCAAAGTTGGGAGGATCGAAGTTGGAAAGTTCCACAGCTGGATCGCATAGGTAACAGTTAAACTTCGCGCCACCAAATGGCTAAACTAGTTAGAGACACATCTATGTCACATTTAAATTATAAGACATTTAGAGATCTATTAAGATCCTAAAGTAGAAACAATAAAACAATTTGTTGTCTTTCTTTGTATTTTATCCTTCTTATAATATCTACATATAGCATAGCTATATTTCAAAATTCACACACGCTTGTGTAGCGTGTGTAACGTTATCGTAACAATGTATCTTCTGAATCTGAATTTTATCCAGTTTTACTCTAATATAATTGATAAAAATACTTTTTGACACAACTCTACAGAAATTCATATAATCATCATCGAATGATGGCTGACACAATGAATAGAGTCTTAAGTAATTAATATTCCTTCGCCTAAACGTGAAAGCAAAAGTAACGAACGAGAGAACGACGAATCTACTTGCAGACGGTGACAAACGAGATGAATTCTTCATCGGTCGGGACAACGGAAACGTGCTGCTAGCGAAGAAGCTCGATTGGGAAACACAGAACTTCTACAACCTGACAATCCGTGTTACGGATAGCGTGCACACTGCTGAGACTCAACTGCTGGTCACGGTGATCGACATCAATGATCACCGACCGGAATTTACCGAGAACATTTATCACGTAGACATTTCAGAAAACGTTGAAAAAGGCGAGAAGATTCTACAGCTGCATGCAACCGATGAAGATGAAGACAAGAAAGTATTCTACAGCCTTCACGCTGCCCAGAATCAAGCTTCCTTGGAAATCTTCCACGTAGATTCCGTGACGGGAGCCGTTACATTGAACGAAGTCCTGGATCGGGAGACCATCGAAGAACACGTACTTACCGTGATGGTAAAAGACCAAGGAACGCCCGCAAAACGAAACTACGCCAGGGTTATAATAACGGTACACGATCACAACGATCATGCTCCAGAATTCATCAGCGAGATCATCCAAGGAAAAGTTTACGAAACTTCTCCGATTGGCGCTGCCGTGGTACAAGTTTATGCTATAGACAGGGACAGAGGAGATAACGCAAAAATAACCTACTCGATTACCTCTGGCAACGTAGGTAACATGTTCGCGATAGATCCAGACTTAGGTGTTATTCGCGTGGCTCGAGAGCTAGATCTAAGTGTCTCCTCTGAATATATATTATTGGTGAAGGCTACGGATCACGGTTCTCCAGCTTTGTCCAACACGGTACCTGTACACGTGATGGTCACCATGGCTGACAACGCTCCGCCTAGGTTCATCCAGAAAGAATTATCCGCTGAGATCTATGAGAACCAACAACTGGGTACATACGTGAAACACGTGGAAGCTAGAAGCACGTCCTCGTTGCAGTTCGAGATTGTTCAAGGCAATAAAGACGACACGTTCTTCATGAACCCCAGTACAGGCATCATCGTGATTAAGAACGAGCTAGATTATGAAAAGACCAAGTTTTATAACCTGACGGTGGCGGCGACTAACATGGCCAGCGCAGAGGCACACTGTAACGTAATTGTCCATGTTCTGGATCGAAACGATAACGCGCCCAGGTTCCTGCAAGCTACGTACAACGGAGAAATAAGCGAAGGCGCTAGCATTGGTTCCTTAGTACTCACTAATTCTAGCACCCCACTGGTCATAAAAGCAGAGGATGCTGACTCTGAATTGAACGCCCTTTTGAACTACGACATAGTCGAAGATTTACCTCGAAAGTACTTCCACATAGATTCGAGCACAGGTGCCATTAGAACCGTAATGGTTTTAGATCACGAAAGCATTCCAAAGTTCACCTTCCACGTGAAGGTTTCCGATCTAGGGAAACCGAAATTGTCTTCCGAGACCACGGCCAAGGTCATGATCGTAGTGACGGATGTAAACGATTGTCCACCCAAGTTCCTCGAAAACGACTATAACACCACTGTACTGTTACCCACGTATAAAAACGTCGCTGTGATCCAAGTGAGGGCCGTAGATCCGGACAGTTCCGAGGGTGTCCCACTCAGGTACGTATAACACCATTAAAACGTGCGTGCCTCTGTATTTACGGCCACTTTAAAAGGCTGATTCATATTTATGCAGACTGCGCCGTGGCTTCGTTAGCATTCATTTACTATTATAATTGTTGCATGAAATTTGTATGATCGCCCTCTGATACACGGCCGTTTTTCCTCCGCGCAGAAAGAAAATTACTTACTGCCCACTTGTGTATACCGTCGGTGAAGGGACCAACCTTCCAATTTGCATAGAGGTGCTTGCGTCACTGTTCTTTCTTTCTTTTTCTTTTTTTCTTTCGTCGGCACTAAAGCGGAAGGTTTAACGATCCTTTGCACCTTTACCAAGGTAGAACATCGTGTGTTGTCGAAATAGCAATGACCTTTTCTTTTTGTTCCCGTTCAGGTACGACATCATCGATGGAAACAAAGCGCATACGTTCGATATAGACCCCCAGACCGGTGTGATCACGATTTATAATCCAGAACGTATGAAGAAAAGCTATTTGCTAAGGGTCCGTGTCTCCGATGGGAAGTATTCGAACGTTTGCCAGGTGAACGTGATGGTGGAGAACTCGGAGAACTCCGGGCTGATGTTCCAGAAGGACGTCTACGAGGGTACGATCCCGGAGAATTCGACGAGGATCACGACCGTCGCGGTTGTGAACGTTTTGGGCAGCGCGCTCAACGAGCACATCGTCTTCAGCATTCTGAACCCCACCGACATGTTCGTAATTGGACCGACATCCGGCGCGATCCGGACCACCGGAATTAGATTCGACCGGGAGGTTTGCGAACATTACGAACTGATAGTAGAAGCGAAGAGTCAGATGCCGGGCAAAGAGAAGCCAAGGGTGGCGCACGTGATTGTGAATATCACTATATTAGACATTAACGACAACTGTCCTATGTTTGTTAACTTACCCTATTACGCCGTTGTGTCCGTAGACGCGCAAAAGGGCGACGTTATTACCAAGGCAAGTGTATTACGGTTATTCTTGACTTTACAATCTAAAATGTTGGGTGTAGAGTAGAAGTAAAACGACTGGGACTTGACTAATTTAATATAATCTCCTTGATATTGTTTCCACTACCCTTTCTGTTATTCGTTTTATAAGATTATATTATTAATTTAATTGCCTTTTACTATGGTGGTAAAAGATATTCTTATTTCAAAATTTAAGATATTTTCTTCTTCTAACGCAACATTATAAATAGAGCATTCCACTTGGCTTGTAGGTACATGCAGTAGATATGGACAGCGGTGACAACGGAGAAGTCAGGTATGAACTGAAGAAAGGCCACGGAGAGCTATTCAAGGTATGTCGGAAAACGGGCGAGATATCCCTGAAACAGAATCTGGAGGGTCACAATCGCGAATATCAGCTCACCATTGCCGCATATGACGGAGGTAAACTCGCTATTTACAGTATCTACATTTTAATTGGCGTTTAAATAGTTTTCGACAAGGTTTCGACTTTATTTCAGGCATAACACCGTGCTCTATCGAGGTGCCAGTGAACGTGAAGGTGATAGATCGGTCGATGCCAGTGTTTGACAAGCAATTCTATACGGACAGCGTGCTGGAAAGTATCGAGATACATTCGCCCCTATCTTTGTCTATACAAGCTGAGTCACCGTTGAATCGCAAGCTCATATATAGTATAACTAAAGGCAACGATTTCGAGGAATTCGCTCTGGATTTCAACACAGGTGAGCGAACGTTCGTTGGTCGCACGGCGAAACAGTTTTTCAAAACCGTGGATGAACGATGAAGCGAAGATTGAATTAAACGCGTAGCGCCCATGCACGGAACGATGAAGTTGCAACTCGAACAATGTAGCTTTCAACAACACACGACGATAAGATTCAAAAAAACTGCCACGTTTTCGGTCCTGTCGATTCTGCTCTTTCACATATATATTTTTATTTCTTGCATCATCGTTCCATGCGAAACATGATACGGTCAAATGGTAGTGTATATAGGTATATGTCCTACGAATGAGATTTTTCTTTTCGTCCCATACTTTCCTGTTTCTTTCTTTTTTTTTTTCTTTTTTTTTTTTACGACGAAAATTTCATCCAATAGCGTCACGACAGCGGCGAACGTGTGTTACATTCGAAATTATAAACGCGCGATCGGCGAATGTTGCGCCCTAAATCCAGTCCCAAATAAAACATCTCCCGAGGATTGTCATTCCAATTCGGCTATGGGACTTCTAATAACTTTTGACCTTTTTATTACTGAAAATGTTCGCTTCATGCTTTATGAAACGTGTTTCTAATTTCCGACGACACAGTTATAGTGATAACCGTTGCAATGGATGAAATAACTTTTTACTTCGTGTATTTCGTGACATTAAATCGTTCATCGCAGTAAATGAAACAGTTTCATATTATTTTATGTATTTATTAACGTTATAAAGTATGACGAACGAATTTATGCATTTCCAAATAGAAACAGTAATGAAGAGGTTAAATATAATATAAATGGTTACCTCGGTAATCTCGTACTCAACAACCGCGCTTTCTACTTTAACGAACAACGTGTTGGTTCCGTTATACATGGTATCCGGTGACTAAATTCTAATCAAGTCACGGTGTAGTGGTGAAACAGTAGCAAATTGGGGATGTTGGAATGTATCGCACGTAACACAAGCTGCAGTTATAATCGTATGATTAATTTATTCGTATATAATTAATCATAAATAATTATATATACTTCTCGAGTTAATTCTATTCGACGTTGAAACACGTACGTTCGCCATTACATTTTATCGTAGTATTTTTTTAAATTAATTCTCCTTTCTTTACCCGTCTCTCCTATAATATATTCTTTACGAATGCTTATTTGATTAAATTAGAAATTAAAGTGTTATTGTATCTCCCTGTTTCGCAGCCCCCGACAGTAACAATGGTCCTTGTGAGTATAAAAAAATACTAGTTCTATCGGTCTGCTGTGTTGCACTATACCATGCTACCGCACTGCTCTCTATCTTTCTTCATTCTAAGATTTTCATGCACGACTCAAACAGTAACAATGAGTTTCTTTCGGCCGCCAGTTTCTCGCGTCGATCTTCGAACGATAAATCCCCACCCTGTCGTTATGCACTGAATTAATACCAACTTCATGACCGGCATACTACGTCATGCAGTAAGTTAGAATAACGGCGAACACCGATCGGGATTTCATACGAGGTATCGATCGTCATTCAAGCGGATGTCGCGATGGTGGAGTCGTTACGACATAGAAATTTAGCTGCAAATTATAGTCTTACGTATATCTATATTTTGCAATCGTATCGATTCACTGAATTTTAAGCAATAATAATTTTTAGGAACACCTTGGAAACTTTTTAAATACAAATTTTTGGAATAATCGCTTTCAGACGTATCCAATATAAATCATCTTTTATATATGTTTTATTATCTATCATTTTTGCAGTATTTTTTATTTTTTAAATTGTTGGAAAAGATATCAGAAACACAAGGACCTCGAAGAAACCATTACGCTCGAGCATACACGAGGAACGGTTAAGTGTCAAGAACTGAAAATACCGGAAACTCCGAATCCCAACTCAAACACGCCGGAACCCATATCATCGGACGGCCGAAACTTCCGCTTGCCATACACAGCTTCTATGATTGCACGTCACTTACACAATATCCGGCATCTTTCGCAATTTCTAACCGCTTGTCAATCGATGCACGACATTCTCAAAAGTAAAAGATGCCATCGCGAAGAAGCGAGACTCAGCAACGATGCAACAATTTAACGGCATGTTGATCCTCTTGCCCGACGTAGAGAACGCTTCTGCTCTGCACTTCTGCTCTCACTTTTACTCATCGTTTTCAACCCAACCGGTCCCATTATCTCATGCAGAAGCAACGAAGCTGCGTGAAAAACGGGTTTGGAGCACAATGTTGCTTTTAAACGCGATACGTGGTTACATCGAGGCCGCAATTCGCCCGGTGATATATCTCGAAACCGCGTTTCAACGCTGCCTTATCGTCGGCACACGATTTTTCTCTCTCTCTCTATTTTCTCCCCCCTTTCCCCTCGTTCTCGTTTAATCCTCCCGCCTCCCGTAATTCTCTTACGGCTTTCACTCTGTTCTTCGCATGGCGTGCCTGCACCTTACGTCGCGTGCGAATTGGGAAAGATACCGTGCTTGTACCTTAAACGAGCTACAATGCGTGGAAATAGCAAGAAAGGGAACAAGGCAGCTCGTTTGTAACAGGTTGACTACGATACGTGACACTTTTCGCTTGTTCGCTTCTTGAGATCGATCGCAAAACAACGAGAATAGAACGACGTGTAGAGAAATTGCTTTCCATTTTGTGCAACATATTCTTATTCTTCCTTCGATCTATTTTAATTGGGCAAATGAGAATTCTTGCAAATTTTATCGATGCAAATGTTTCGATTGGGATCAAAGGATTAAAGACTGGTAGAAGAATTGGCTGAAGTAAAAGATACGTTAGAGAATACTTGAGATATCTTGAATTTTTTTAAAAGTACATTTAATATAAAAATACTTTCAAGATAAAAAGAATATCGTCCAGTTACTTTTTTATTCGACAATGTCCGGAGTTGTCAGAAAATTTATAAAGATCTCAAGAAGCAGTCACGTAATATTGCAACTCCCAAGAGTATATACGTCCATTATAACATTCCAAGGCTCGGTAAACGCTTGCGAGAGAAAAATCGAAAACGTCAAGTTGAATGGAGTCAACCTGTTAAGTTGCACAACGCGCCGTCGTGTTCGAAGGTGCAGACATTCTGGTAGCATCCGCAAATTCATTCACGGTATCCGAGCGTCTTGTATAAACGTGTTTACCACGTGACTTGCATTCACCAATGTTCTCTTCTTGGTGTCCGCGAAACCGAGCAACTCCTTGAATTACCCAGTCACCATCATATAGACGAATAATTAAACCACGTTTCGACACCTCTACATAAAATTTGCATAAGTTCCGCATTAAGTACAAGCACATCGATAAACTATGCTGCTTCTCAAGATGCTCTTTGGTAAAATATCGTATAAAATGGCACACACACACACGCGCGCGCGCACATTTACAAAAAATAAAAAATAAAAAAATACACGCAAGAATGTCGGGCTATTAGTCAGCATCACGAATAAAAAGGAAAAGTTTCTCGGCTTTGTGGACGCTACGCTGCATAGACTGCTTTTGGGTCTACAATCTTCTCTTCGATAAATCAGGTGTAATCTACGTGGTGGACGAGCTGGATTACGAGCAAAAGAAACAGTACGAGCTGACCGTCCGCGCGACGGACAGCGTATCAGGCGTCTACGCGGAGGTACTCGTTAGCATCCTGGTGCTCGACGTGAACGATTGCCCGCCCGAATTCACTCAAGACTCGTACAACATCTCGGTCTCCGAGGCTGCGCCGTTCGGCACTTCCGTGTTGAGAGTCAGCTCCAGAGATAACGACACCGGTAAGCGGTTATTAAATTCAGCTATGCATATTGCTGTCCATATAATCATGCGCAAGAAGTGGAATGTTCTTAGTTCTTCTATCTGCCTATGTTTGAATTTGAAACACAGGTTTGCATAATATTTGCATATTGTGCAATACACTTGCGTTTTCTTTGATATATTCATTGGACATTATAATTTTATGAAACGATATTTTTATTTTGTCTTACGGCAACTCAATAATTTTGGTCGGTTGAGATATTGCAGAAACGAATACCTTAATTACAAATATGGTTTTACGATAGTATTACGAGTAGATTTATTTAATATTAAAATTCTAAATTCGTCCTGATATTTTATAAATTTCTAACTCCATTTCTTAATCTAGAAAACATTGACGTTCTCTAATATCTTTTAACAATAACATCGTATATTCGACTATATAACTTTACTCGAAAATTTGCAATATTCGTAATTTTTATCAACAAGATTACACTTATGGATAGTAGTGTATATCGCAAGATACGCATTGAAAGATCGGATCGGCTTCGTGAAGCTTGAAGGCCCGACTAAATTTGCAATTAATGTCGAGGCAACGGAAATTCACTCCCTCTGTCTGTATATGTCTCATAAATAACGCGAGGCAGTCCTGTTGGAGCAAGATTAATGTTATTGTAATTATTGTGAAGGATGCTCTTAGTGGGCACCGAGGCTGGATTATCGCGATGAAATATACCCCGAGTTGTTACATGATTGTACGAGAATGAGACGAGAAAAAGACGAGAAAAGGATAAATAGAAGCTGATGTTTCTCGTTGAGAGATTTTGTCCAGTGATTTATTTGGAAATTCGCTCACGGTAACTCAGAACTATGTCAGAAGTTGAAACGAAGCTTTAATTGGTTGAACTGATAAAGGAGAAATATTAAACTCATAAAATCCTGAACTGTTTCGTGTTTGTTACTTGTAACTATCGTTTATTATCTTAATGACCGTAGTTTATCAATTTGAATTCTTAAAACATTCTTCGTACAAAATGTTTTTCTACCATAGTAAAACAGTTGTTCACAAATGATATCAACAGGAAATGTTAATTAAGCTTCGTTCTCGTGTACATGCTATAAATAATTTTCCAGCCATGATATTATTGGAAACTTTATAACATTCATGTAATTTGTAACAACATAAATACATTAATACTTATTGTAGAAACCTTCGTTAACATAGCATGCTCCATTTATTAATTATATGTACACAAATACACATAGATAAAATACTGAACAATTCGAGTCTTTTAAAAAATCAGATCACCGATATACCACGAGATGAGCTCAAAAAATGAATACACCCTCAGAACATATATACTCTTTACGTATTATGTTCACATGTGACACGTGTCTCTTATCTGTATTATACCATCCATTCCTATGTAAACATCACTAAATACCATAAACCGTAATACCATAAACTTTTCTGTGTTCAGACATCAACCAACAGGTTCGCTATGCAATTCAAAACGACACGGAAAACAGCACTGACCTGTTCCACATCGACCCGGAGGAGGGTGTGATCTTCCTGAAGAGATCTCTAGATCACGAGACCCACGAATCGCACCACTTTACGGTGATCGCGATCGATCGCGGTGTACCCAGTCTCTCGAGCACAGCCCACGTCTGGGTGACGGTGATCGACATGAATGACAATCCACCCAAGTTCGAACAACCCTCGTACACTTGCTCGTTGTCGGAACACGCGGAAAGGGGTCAGTTCGTGACGGTGGTATCTGCCAGTGACCCGGACTACGTAGACGATAAACTCACGTATACGATAGTCGGTGGTAACGAGCAACAAACGTATAACATCGACCAATCCACCGGCATCATTTCGCTGATCAATATGCAAAACTTTGGCGAGAAGAAACTCAGCATGCTAAACGTTTCTGTCACGGACAATGTGTACACCAGCTTCGCAAGAGTCAAGATCGAGATATTGCCTGCTAATAGACACAATCCTACGTTCCAAAACCCTATAGTAGAAGTGACAGTTTTCGAGAATCAGTTGCCTGGCAGATTGGTGACGAGTGTGATAGCCACCGACGAGGATTTCGGGGAATATGGCACGGTGATCTACACGATAGCTTCAGATCTGATGAAGGAGATATTTGACATAAATAGACAAACTGGCGAGATCGTGACTAGAAAGAAGTTGAATCGAGAAGAGCAGAAGTTGTATGAAATACCCGTGATGGCTACTGATGGAGGTGGCAGATCAGGTTTCGTGATTGTTAGGGTGAAAGTTGGAGATGAAAATGACAATTCGCCCGTGTTTCTGCTGAGAGAATACAAAGCCAGCATTCATGGAAATTTGACTACTAATACGCCGTTCCTGAAGGTGAAAGCTCAGGATGCTGACGAGGATGACGCTGCGAGGATTGTTTATTCGATATACGAACTGCAGACTTCGGAAGCGAAAGCGTTATTTGGGATTAACCCTGATACTGGAGCGTTGTTCCTTCAAAAGAGTGCTATGCCATGGGGTAAGTTCTGCGCTATATTCTATCGCTCATTTTATTTTCATTGGCGTACTATATGACATTAATCGTTAAAATTATATTTCTTCATTTTTAATATTGTACCGAACATAAGAAATTTTTGTATAATTAAAATTTCTGGTCGAATTATAAAAGAATCGTACCGATAATGATCACAGTGCCGCAACATGTTGGATTATTATCTATCTAATATTTTAGAAAATCAACTATTCGAGCTCTTCATTCGGGCGGAAGACAAGGGCGGGGCGACAACACATCACGCTGACGTTCCCCTCAGCATTTACATAATGGGACCGCAAGATATTCCACCTCTGTTTGAACGAAAAGAAGACAAATTCTTCATATCAGAAGCGTCTCCTATCGGAACACCTATAACAAGGCTAAAAACCGTGACCAACACTACAGTCACATACAGAATAGTTTCTGGAGATGAAGATTCTCCACTTTTTATGATCGATGCTAACGGACAAATTACTTTAGTTAAACCTTTGGATCGAGAGCTGAAGGATAATCATTTGATCGGAGTCCTCGCTGAAACGGACTCGAGTCCTCCATTGACAGCTCTAGCTGAAATTTCGCTGCAGGTGTTGGATGAAAATGATCATGCTCCTAAATTCGAAAGTAATCCTTATGGTATCAGTCTGGCGGAGAATATAGAGGAAGGAACATCAATTTTGAAAATTATCGCGCACGATGAAGATCTGGGTAGCAATGGAGAGGTTCGATATTCCTTTGGCTCGGATATTGGCGAACTGGCAAATGTCTTCACTGTAGATACGTACACCGGGTGGATATCGACACTGGTTCTACTTGATAAGGAAAAGCAACCGGAATATAAGTTTCAAGTACGTTTAATTAAAAATTACAAATTTGTCATAGACAGTTTTTACTATTTTCTATAGAATATTTGATAGCTCAGTTATTTAATAAAAAAAAATAGTCTGAACATAACGAGAATCTCTTTTCCTTTTATAATTTTCAAAGTAAAATTAAAATTAAGATTTCTCAGAATTAAAAGAAAAAGAAAAAAATTTATTATAATACTTAATATACATTTTTGTCGTGTCTAGGTGGTCGCTACCGACAATGGAAATCCAAAGCACTTCGCAAGAACTTCTGTGCACGTAAAGCTGAAGGATTACAACGACAATCCTCCCGCGTTCGTAGACGATCGTTACGAAGCAGCGGTGAACGAAGACGCTCTACCAGGAACGGTCGTGGTCAAGTTAATCACCATGGACAAAGATTCGGACGTAAATACACCCATAGAATTCTACATAACGTCCGGCGATTCGAGATCTCAGTTCCAGATTAGATCAACTGGCGAAGTATACGTGGCAAAGGCTCTGGACCGGGAAACGATCGATCGTTATGAGCTCGAAATAGTCGGCACCGACGGCAAATACGTCTTCAAGACGCGTGTAACGGTGCAAATACTCGACGTGAACGATAATCCACCATATTGCCTCAGGTATCGTTATCGAGAGATCCTGTCTGAGGGATCGCATCCTGGCACGTACGTGCTCACTGTTCTGGCCACTGATTACGACGACGAACCGAATGCCAAGTTGCGCTTCTATTTAACCGGCGACAATAACGACAAATTCTCATTGGACAAAGAGACAGGCGTATTAAAGACGGTCGGTCAACTGGACCGGGAAACTCAAGCGAAATATTCGCTCACAGCGCATGTACAAGATAGAGACAAACCATCTTGGGAATGCTCCTCTCAGCTAGAAATTCTGGTCTCAGATTTGAACGATAACGCACCGAAATTTACTATGCAGACGTATAGCGCTACACTGCCCGAAGACGTCGAGGTCGGTACCTTAGTAACCAAAGTACATGCCACGGACAATGACATCGGCATTAATCGTAAGATCAGATATGAATTCATCGATTCTGCCGATGGTCACTTCCTCGTCGCAGCGGACAGCGGCATCGTTACGCTTGGGAAGCCGTTGGACAGAGAAACGAAGGCCATGTACAATGTAACTATACAGGCAGTTGATCAGGGCACCCCTCAATTGATGAGTGTTACTTCGTTAATTGTCAACGTGCAGGATATTAATGACAATCCACCGGAATTCGCGTCGAAGGTGTATTTCTCAAAAGTTCCTGAGATCTATGCAGTTGGAACGGAAGTAGCTCGAGTTCTTGCAACGTCTAAGGATACTGGAGTCAATGCTGATGTTTACTATTCGATCGTTGGCGGAAATGAACATAAGAAGTTCCAGATAGATGCCCGTAGTGGCGTGATTACTATTGCGGAGCAATTAGATTTCGAACGTGCCAGAGATTATTTCTTGACGATTCAAGCTATAGATGGAGGCATTCCTCCTTTGAGTAATCACGCTACGGTGAATATTACCGTGATCGATAGCAATGACAACGCGCCGATATTCAGCGAAGTTTCATACAGAGCTTCTATACGGGAAGACGCAAAGATTGGAGAAAAAGTTACGCAGGTAAGACTTATATATATACACAGCTTATGTATAAAAAAACAATTGATTAAATAATTGCTTTTATTGTACAGCTTTTACATATAATAAAATAAACGAAAATTTTAGTAAACTTAATATTTTTAGAAATAAATTTTAAAATAAAAAGGAATCGAATAACGAGATGAATTTCGAATAATTTAGATATTGTCTTAACTATACGCTAACTGTAGACTAATTCCATATTATAATGAATGTATCAGGTATTCGCAAACGACTTGGATAGCGAGGAGAACGGGAACGTGTCTTATTACATCGAACGAGGTGACAGGCAGAAGCAATTCTCGATCGATGAGAAAACAGGACAAATTACTGTCGCCGCATCATTGGATCGCGAAGAAGTCAGTATAAATCATACGCACCATTCATTATATATCTTAATGCGGTTGTAAGACATTTCGAATGCAATCTACAACGCGATATTTCATGTTTCCAGATCGGTAATTACGTGTTGGAGGTTCACGCCCGTGACAGCGGCATACCTAGGCTATCCAGCTTCGTGATGGTAAACATCGAGATTCTAGATGCAAATGACAACCCGCCGCTGTTCTCCCTCTCAAATTATACCGCGGTAGTGCAAGAAGACAAGCCCCTTGGCCACACCGTATTACAATTCGTGGTCACAGATGCAGATATTGAACCGAACGCCGCTCCATACACCTTCGACTTCCGTTCCGGGAACGAGGGTGACGCGTTCAGATTAGAACAGGACGGCACACTGCGAACTGCTACCAAATTCAACAACAGGGTCAAAGATAAATACGAGTTGCACATACGCGTCTTTGACAACGGAAGCCCACCTCTCTATTCCGACGCATGGGTCGTGATCAAAGTGATCGAGGAATCCCAGTATCCTCCAGTAATTACGCCTCTAGAGGTAGTTATTAATTCCTACATGGACGAGTATCCTGGTGGGATCATCGGAAGGGTTCACGCAACGGATCAAGATCAATATGACACGCTTTCGTACAGTTTGGTTCCATCGTCTCCTATCCCAAACGACCTCTTCAAAATTGACAAAATTGATGGCACTTTGGTTGCCCTTCCGCGTCTCGATGTTGGCGAATACAGGATAAACGTCAGCGTAACGGATGGAAAATATCATTCGCATTCTATCGTTAAAGTAAATGTTGATTTGGTAACGGAAAAGATGTTGGAGAATTCTGTAATTGTAAGATTCAGAGAAGTCAGTCCGGAAGATTTTATATTAAGTCATCGTAAGGGATTCATTAGAACCGTGCGCAACGCGATGAACTGTAGATTAAAGGATATCGTTATTATCAGCGTCCAACCTTCTACAGACGAAGTGAATCTAATTAAATCTCGCACTATTCGCCAAACCATACACAACGATCTGGACCTCCTATTCGCGGTGAAGAAGAGCTCTACACCTTTGGGATCACCGACCTTTTATGGGTCTGAAAATATACGGGAGGCGTTAAATCAGCGTATCGAAGAACTCGAAGAATCGACGAAATTAGTCGTGGAAGAAATTGTTAGATTTAAATGTAACAAAGAATACTGCGTTTATGGGGATTGCCAAGACAAAATTGTTCTCGACATCACACAAATAACACCTGTAGCTACTGACGTAATGAGTTTCGTGTCCCCGCGACACAGACATAAGATGGAGTGCAGTTGCAAAGAGGGATATGCCGGGAATCATTGCGAGGTAGTCGTCAACGAATGCGCCAGAGATCCTTGTCCACTGTTTAAAGTCTGCATTCCCGATTCTTCGGTTCAAGGATACTCGTGCCAATGCCCTGAAGGTTTCGCCGGGCAAACCTGCGATATTGACATCTCCAAGTGCCATGACGAGTCTTGCTACATTCCACGAAACCCCATATCGTTTAGTGGCAAGAGCTATGCTCGTTATAGGATCGATAAAGCCCTCATCAAACAGACTATCGAGGACCGTCTCAGTTTATCTTTAAGGATCAGAACAGTGCAATTGACCGGAAACTTGATGTATGCAGCTGGTAAGATCGATTATAATATACTAGAAGTCGTGAATGGAGTTGTTCAATACAAGTTCGATCTGGGCAGCGGAGAAGGCTTGGTTCGCGTGAGCAGTGTATACGTGAGCGATGGACAGTGGCACGAAATCCAATTAGAACGAGAAAGCAACAGCGCCAAGTTGACCGTTGATGGAAAGCACGTAGCTCATGGATCTGCACCTGGTATCAACGATATCCTGAATCTTCAATCTGATGATCTTTACTTGGGTGCTGAAGTTAGACAACATCCATCAGTTTTGGGCTTCGAGGATGTTCAACGTGGTTTCATAGGATGTATGGATGATGTCAGAATCGCCAGAGTATCGGTACCGTTACATATGAGTGGCGCTAGCAGTGTCGCTGTCTTAAAACGCTTTGCAAATGTGGAATTCAGCTGCGACGCTGCAACGGTTTTGGTGCCCCCAGGGATCTGTGGTTCGCAGCCCTGTCAGAATGGCGGAACATGTAAAGATTCTGGTGGCGACAACTATGAGTGCCAATGTCACAGCAGATTTGCAGGGCTCGCTTGTGAAATTGATACCGATCCTTGCGCCTCTTCACCCTGTCTCTACGGTGGTCGTTGCAAAATCGTACCAGAGGGAGGTGACTTCACTTGCGAATGTGTTGGACCAAGTCTGAGTGGGAAACGCTGCGAATTCGGAAGATATTGCAGTCCAAACCCGTGCATTCACGGTGGAGTTTGCGAGGAAGGCAATAATGGGCCAATATGCAAATGCCAAGGATTCATGGGAGAACGTTGCGAAACAGACGTTAATGAATGCGACGCCAATCCCTGCACAAATGGAGGAACCTGCGTGAACGAAATAGGGACCTATAGATGTATCTGTCCTCCTAATATGACCGGATTAAACTGTGGAAATCCGGCGTATTCTACACCAATTATATCGAGCCACTTTAAAATCACATGGGAGCAGTTAATGTGGATTGGCTTTGCAGTAATAGTGAACATATTCCTGATCATCATATTCTTCGCCTTCCGACGGATCAGGATGAAACGCACGAGAGCACGGACGAATAACATCAACAATGAGACCAGGAAGCAAATTGTTTTAAATTCAGCGCGACCTCATGAGCACGAGTTCAAACGGAGCTCAAAATTGAGCAACCTGGAAGTGATACAGGTATCGTATCTAAATCAGAGAAATAAATATACTTGTTTGATTTGTCAGCACTTAAGAGAGAAGACCGCATGCTTTTAATCATACCTCGATCGTACGCCAATGATAGACGATTTTTCTTTTTTTATTTTTGTTTTTTTTTCTAATGGCGTTCTTTTTCTTGATTTGCGATCATCAGCCGATATTCCCTCTCCTGCGAGTGATGCGTGCATTGAGTTTAAGGTTTTTCGTGTGATTCTTTTTTGCAGAGAGAACCTCCCCAATGCCCTCCTAGACCCGCTTCCTATACTCCCAGCTCGAACAACGAGCCAGCCGCGTACGGTAACTCGGCAGCGGTGGCACTAAATAATTTAGACACGCTGCGAAGTTATGGCAGCGCCGGTGACGAGCTGGAGAATTTCCCGCCAGATTATTTGAGAAACCTAAATCGCAGCACACCTGTGCCCCCTCCGTCCTTAACCCTCGCTAACCCAGTCGGCGGAAACGCTACAGGCAGCGACACGGATAGCCTTCATAAGCCGAGCTGGCAAGAGCAGATGCAACTAGCTTCCTTCATCACGGACACGACAAAGATAAAAAATGGTGAGTAGTATGCGTCGCTGATTGCCCCGATTCATCGTAGCTTCTTACTTTTGTTTTCGCTTGTCGCATGCATTCGTGGGTGGAATTTATAGCTTGATCCATTGACTCGATCTCTCTTTTACTTATCCTATTCTCTGTGGTTCCTACTTATTTCTATCTCTCCCTCGTTTCTCTCATTTAATCATTTCGTCAGACTTTCTCACCTTCCTTTATCGCCATTTTACGCCTTTGTCACTATCTTACATTCTACTTCTCGTTCTTCTGTCTGTTTCTCTTGATCGTTTCCCTCTTCTTAATACGAATGTCCGGAAACGTATGCTGACTTGGGCGTGTAGCGAATCGAATTAACATTGGTGTATCGTATTGTGTGCGCTAACAGACCTGAAACGAGCGAGCCCAGTGGTACCGGAGCTGACCACTGGAGGACTTCTACTAAATCCTTCTCGACGCGTGCCTCATGGAGGTGGGACCTCCGTTGCCTCCATGACGTCCATCGAGGATGATCCTCGTATAGTCGGTGGTAAGTCGAGATAGTAATGCCTGAAAGAACAGCCGAATACCTAAGGATACACATTTTGATATTTGGGTCGCTTCGCTTGTCGCTATCTCTTCTCTATCGGCTAGATTCTAATTTTTTTTTTTTTTTTTTTTTACCCTTTATATAATACCAGGCAGACACTCCGCTTCCTTCTCTCTCTCTCTCTCTCTCTCTCTTTCTCTCTCTTACTCTCACTCTCTCACTTTCTTCTTTTCTCTCTTTCTCACTTTAGACTCCGTATCGCGACGTCAGATCGTCGCATGTAGCGTGTCGGAGTACAGTTGTTGTCTGCAATGCTTTTAGGGTATCACTGGGATTGTTCAGACTGGGTCAGGCCAAGCCAAAACCCCTTGCCTAATATCACGGAGGTGCCTGGAAGCGAAGTACCAGACTCGTCCAGCTTCCACAGCAATGAGAGTAACGAATCAAACACTCATCAGTTACCGTCAGGTGAGTACGCGACTGCATGTTTCGCAGTACAATTGCTTCCACTCGCGGCTAGTTGGAACAGTTTTAGTTCATTATGTCTGTAGACATATTATATGTAAGATAATTTTAGGCGAGGCTATCGAATCTTTTGTTTCCTTTAAACGATTTGTCGTCTTAAATGGATAGTAGCTGCAGAAAGGGATGCATGTGACATAGCACTAAGGTAGACTTGGTGGTTTGCCTTTTTAACCTTCGATTGGTAGGGTGTAATATTTGTAATAAATCTTTATAATATCCAATGAAATTGATCTGCGACGTCAACTGTCCCCCCCCCCCTTTTTTCTCAGAGTGCTGCATAGTATTTAATTTAATTGTCAATTATAAATGAATCGCGTTATTAAAATAACGAAATGTATTCGTTTTAGTGCACGGCTCTGTAGATCCAGCGAGGGACATCGAGACGTTGAACGAAGATCAAGAATCAGAGTACGTCGGGGACTCGGAATGCGGGACTGAATTTTCTGAGCAGTATCAGTGCGCGGAAACGCAACGTTTAAATCCCTTGGATAGCGGCGGCGAGGGAGAATACAAATATAAAGGTTCCGAAAGTTATCTCCGTCATCCAAACTCTTATCTACCGCATTACAACATCCACACGGACACGGAGAACGAAACAAATCCTTTGAATGGACGTCTTAGTACTTTAGAATCCGACGAGGAGGAAGACGATGTAGTGCCTTATGGTTTCCCAAGCACCCGACGCAACCGATGCCACAAGGGAGACGAGGTCGACGAAATCGGTTCGGTAATCACCACGCTCGAAGAGAGAAATTCATTATTGGGCGGTGCAACCAGCAACAGCGACTTATCAACCAACTTATGCGAAATTGACGATTCCGAATACGAGATCGCCGATCAAAAGAGCAATGGCCGCTTGTGGTTGTCGGGGAATGGTATCACGCAGACCTCGGTGTGACAAACAGTGGTGCCACGACTTGAGAACAGACTGAACGTGATCGTGTTTTTCTGTGCTTCTTGAACAAAGACAGTGCGAATGTTATGTGAATATACGACGAAAAAATATTGTACATACGTATTATCGAATCAGAGGTAGAGAGAAAGATAGAAGGTCTGTACAGAGGCAGCTATGAATATAAGGAAATTGATGAATACGAGCTAATTAAAGAACGGTATGGAAATAATCACATACTGAGCCAACGGTGTGCACCGTTCGCACATCGTACCTCAAATCTCCTATGTAGGTAGAGCTTAGGTACTTTAACGTACTTAATTCAGCGATCCTCGAAACAATTCTATTGAGCCGCAAGTATGAAAATGAACGTACATGTATCTGGGAACAATTCTTGTTTTCATACGACACTTACGTTATATATTTCATGGTAATTAAAATAGGGCCATTCAACGAATTGGTAAGGAAGTTGGTTACAAAACATTGCATATTCTATCGAAGACGCATTCATTTTATAGACAAGTTACATTCTAACGATTTTGCGATATATGGACCATTAGGAGTTTCGTTTAACGGTAAAACATCTTTTCAATTCTACCAGAGGGGATGAGGTTTAGTAAAAAAAATATATAATATACATATGTATATGTATACAATATGAAAAATATATGTATACATATATATCGTGACAACTATACGCAACTATTACGAGTAAGAAATTATCTTGATTAAGGATAAAATTTGTTACTTGAGAGAAGTAAATTTAATCACGACCGCGTTGTCAGACCAATGACTATTATTTAATGACCTATCGTTTAAATTTAAAACTTATCCACAACTATAATTCCACTGCAAAAAAAATACATAGGTACATTTATGTATTTTTACTATTTGCTAACCGACTTTATTTTGGTTACATACGAAATAAACAGAAGGACTACTTAATAATATAGATATAAGTACAGCATAGTCTAGTGAGTAAATGAATTGACTCTAGTGAAAAAAACAGTGCTCTGCTTCTAGGGCGAATATATGTGCATGTCTGCTGGCGTTTACTGCAGCAAAGCACAATAGTTAAAGAGATATGAAATATTTTTACTGTGATGATAATAATGTTTATACAATGATCAAATACTATGACTTGTATGATAATGATTGTAATATTAACTATCCAACGTTTTTTAAAAGAAAAGAAATTAAAAAATCGCGGAAGATAGTATTCCATTTCCGCGCGTACGTATTGCTAAGTCAATGTTCTATTCGTTTAACTGCATCTATTTTATTTTCCCTCTCTTCTTTTCTCATTTCTTATTTCGAACTTTTCCTTCCATTAGTCACCATCGGTTCAACAGACATAACTGCATATATGGTGCTACTACTTACATCACGCTTTAACATTTTTATCTACTCGATAAGACTGCTCAGCAATGTGAATCGTACGCAATTCATCGACACTCTTATCATGAATTACATAGTTCTCACGCTGTTATTTTTCATCATGAAAATCTGTCCAAGTAACGATAATGAAACATTTTTTGAACTGCCAACTTAATAATAAATGCCGTACGAACAAAGGTATTTCCCTTGATTAATTTGTGTAGTTAAGCGTGACACACAAAGGGTCAAGAAACTGTTATTTCTGTGCCTAATATCTTTTAAATACCGTGTACTTCCATGCAAGATAAGTTTTCTTTCCGTTGGACAAATATTTTAGCGGCAGCTTAATTGGGAGAGGTGTACACGTTCTTTTTATACATGTAGAATTCTACTGGCAAATTTATTGTTTATGTTCCTGTTCTGTAAAGAATGCTAGCCATCTTATTCTACATTTAGTGGGATAAATCAGTAAACCACGTTAATAATAATGTGAAACAGGGTGACATATTCTTTTTTTGTTTTGACCAAGAGGAAGAGAAAATTGTCTTCTTCTTATATAAGTTTGAAACAGCTGTGCCTCTCCTTTCTGAAATTTCAATGCAATTACTTACACGGATACAATTGAACATAGACAATTTATTCTATATTAGAATGAAATATATAAGAATACTGTACAGTTTTAACTTAACAAATTGTATCAGAATCAACATCAACACGCAATGAAAATTTCAGTTTGCGTCGAAGCACAGCGAGGTTCGTAACTGTTAAGATTAGTTTTATATTTTACGGATTAACAATGAAAACATATTGGTTAAAGACTGTAAACTGATGCGGATGAAAAGAGATCATCCATTTATAAATATTGTACCAATCAGTTTGTAATCATGTGGACGTTACAAAACATTTGGTTGTAAAGATAAAAATAAGGGAGCGCAATATTTTATAGAAGTTCTGACCGATTAGCGATATTAAGGTTTGGACGAAACGTTTTCGTAAAGTAGGATTTAATAATTTCGCACTATTAATGGTTTAAGCAATCGGAATTGATCGAAACGAATAATTTCATTTGTGTGCGTTTACTTTTTTTATTTTTCAAACTACTTATTATGGATCTTTATACTTGACTATAATTTATAAAATAATAAATAGTTCCAGTTATTTCTTATTTTATTGTAACTTGCCATAATTATACGACAATGAAGAATGTAGGAAATTAAACACGAAAAAGATGTGGGTACAACTTCCAAATTCACCGCAACTTAGCCCTGCTAATAGGATACATATCGATATCATGAAATCCTTCAAACAATGAGGAACTTGACTTGTTATAATTAGAAGGCTATAATTAATTTGTACAAGATCAACCTATTGTAATAAATAATACAATCTTGCCTACGTTTTCTGTTATTATATTAGTTCCAAAACCATTACCACACGAAGTATAAAAGTATAGATTACCGATCTCAAATGATTCCTTTCCATGTCTCAGTTTATTAATTAAGCTGAATGGAACAATGAATATACTAAAATACATAAAATAATTTATTCTACGAAAATGATAAATATAAATGATAATACAATGAATCTTTTTCCTTTCTGCAAAATAAATTTTAATCGTAGAAAATTATACAATGGCCCATTAATTGTTTTATTTGAAATATTCATATATAGAACATATTGGTAATTTATTAAACAGTATTTTTGCAAATATTCTATGTAAATTAATGTTTCTCTAATGCTGCAGTCAGCAATTTATTCAGAGACATTAATAATATACGTGGGTTATTGATTAAACCAGCTTCTACCATACTGTTCGTGAATAACTGGAACAGATTAAGAAGAGATTTAGAACACATAAAATCCAAGGCTATCAAAAATAATATAATAGATCATAACATAATACCTGTTGTATAAGAAGATCTGCTAATTCTGTATTGGTGTTCATTAATTCACAAAGCTTTTTAATGAGGAAATGATTAGGATTTATTTCCAAACATGGCTGAAGCATGGAGTAAAACATTTCATCTCCTAATTGACGTGTTTGTATGCGGGTAAGGTGTCTTGCATTTGCCATCTGTGGAACTGTAACAACACACGGATGTGACTCAAGTCGAGTCGTTGTTTTAATGTCATGAGCCTTTCCGGACAAAACTTTCTTCATGTATGTTATAAGATTGTCCATTTCACCTTTATTAATAATACCTAAACAAGAAGAAATATTAAAATAGAACAATTTATACAAATTCGAAAGTCATTCAGACATATCACGTACCAGGAGTATCAGATTTTGAATCTGTTTCACATAACTCTTCTTCAATAGAAGTCAACTGATGAAAGTTAAACTCTTTTAAGTGTAAGAAAATCACATCGTCATACGCTTCATAGCAAAATATTACTTCAATATTCCGTTTCTTTAGAGATTCGTAATATGGTGATTGTTCAGCTAAGCTTCGGCTAAAATTAAGAAGTAAATACAAATACTGCCATAATAATATAGTAGGGAAAAGTAATTAACTTACTTTGGTGCTAATAGGTAATAGATCTTATTTTGATTAGAAGGCATTCGTTTGCAGTAATCTTCTAGACTTATTAATACCTCCGGTGGCATTGCAGACGATTGGAATCGTAAAAGTTTAGCGATGTTTTCCTAATAAACAATAACACAAGAACTAAACAAAGATATATATAATAAAAACTATTACAGAAGCGATGAAAATAATATCTACATGTATTAATAAAAAAGATATATATATATATATATATTACCTTTTCTATTTGAATATCAGTGCTTACAATACCTTCTTTTAAAAAGATATTGTAATCTTTATAAAATTTGTCGTAATCTTCAGTATATTTCTGAGATTTTTCATTCAAAAATTTTAAGACTCGCGTGGTTAGAACATTACGCAATTTCCTACATTAGAAATTAAAATAAATAAATCAAATTAAAATGATTACAACCATTCATATAACATTACATATTTTAATCAACTTTTGTCTTACCCAATTAAAGCACTATTCTGCAATAATTCACGACTTAAATTAAGAGGAATATCTTCAGAATCAATTACTCCTTTGATGAAACGCATCCACTTTGGCAAAATATTTTCGATCTTATTTTTAATTAAAACTTTACGGCTATATAACGAAACCCCACTTGTTTCACTTTTCGTGAAATCATAAAATGGTGGTTTTTGTTCTGGGAAATATAATAACGCCCTTATATTAAGTGGAACGTCGGTCGAGTAATGTAATATGAATCGCGGAGAATCGAAACAGTTCCCAATAAACCTATAGAACTCATTATGTTGTAATGGTGTAATATCTTTTGGATCAAGCATCCACAATGGCTAAAAAAGATACATATAGCTACACAATTCAATATAAAATATCCTGGGAAATGTAAGCATTTCTTCTATCATACCTGCAGGGTATTAACTCTTCTGCCATTAACATAAATAGGACTACTGATAAAGTTGCTGTACTTCATGATGAGATCTGTGAAATATTAATAGATTAATCAATAATCTAAAAATAAATAATCGCATGAAAATGTTTAAACTACATACTATTAATTGTGTTCTCATCGCTATAATGCCGGCACTTGAGATTCAAGTGTATAACAATTTTAGTTCCTGGTTGAACTCCCTCAGCCTTTGAGATTTTAAATGTATCAGAACTGAATAATAATTTATATTTTAATAATATATACATATACCTTACTATATTTCATAAAAGTAAAAATTTCTAATTATTAAATTAATTATTAAAAAGCACTCTTTTTACCCATCAGAAGTCCAGCAAAAGCCTTCAGCATCTGGTGCATATGATTTTGTAAACACTTCTACTTTATTAGCAACCATAAAGACACTATAGAAGCCAACTCCAAATTGCCCAATAATTTGTGACATATCACCGACATCTTGTTCCTCTTTTAATTTTTTTAAAAAAGCCTATGTTAAAGAAAAATTTACATGATAAAATAAAAAGTTTCTGTGTAATATGGCTAAAATTGTAAAATATATGTAGTATATAATTAATTCATTTTAATTGGTATTGTTAATTATACTTACTCTAGAACCAGACCTAGCTATAGTTCCTAGATTTGATACCACTTCTTCATGAGTCATACCAATTCCTGTATCCTGAATTATAAGTGTTCTATTTTGTTTATCAGTACCAATATGAATTTCCAAATTTCTGTCACCAATAATATCTGCAGCTTTAGAATCACTTAAGCGCATATATCTTAATTTTTCAAGTGCATCACTTGCATTAGAAATTAATTCACGTAGAAATACCTTTAGATCAAAGTAAAAGAGGAAAACATTTTTTGATTAAATGTTTATTTCCTAAAAATTAAGTAACATTAAGATAATAGCATAAGATAAGGGCAATGTTACTTCTTTATTTGAATACAAGGACTTTGCAACAATTTGTAAAAGCATCCGTGTTTCTGATCGGAATTCATGTTTGACTCCTTTCTCTAAAAAAATTAAAAGATGTTATATAAAAGATATATTTTGAATATTACACGTGCAAATACCTGTAGGTTTTTCTATATTTTTTATAATATTATGAGTTTCTGTGGTTTGTGTCGCTGCCTGAGAAGAATAGCTTTGTGCCAGAGTGCCAACTACACCTATACATTAAAAAATCAATTATTTTGTGTATACAGAAGGTAATTATATAAATATTATATTAAATTCATCTTATAGGATTAAGGAAAACATGTTCACATAACCTTAAAATGTACGTAATTAAAAAAATAATATAGAAATGAAAATTATATGACGTCAAAAATATACAAACCTGAAAACCGCTGACATTGTTTTCCTAAAATTCGTCTTCCACAGCTCAGACTTAACGGTCTTGTAAGGTTCTTTCCGAATTTAATTGCGAGCCTCAATCTATGAACGGTAGACATAGCCATGCTTTCGAAATAACTAAAACGCCACTAACATTGACGTCGCACGGAATTGGTCCAAAGGAATTGGCGATTCGAAAACGGGCGGTAAAACGCTGCATGGCACCACGAGCACATACATATAAGATTTTGGTCATCATTTTCACACGAGAATTGTTTTGCTCCATCGGTTGAGTAACAGAATTAAATTATTGTAAAATGATACAATTACACAAATTATTACACATAAGTTGTAAAATTGTACAATTATTGTAAGCTTACCAATAAACAAAACGTTTAATTATATAAAATCCTTCCAACATCCATAATCCTTAAATCCTGTCCAATTCCTAGTAGTTTAAGGAATAAATTATTAAAAAATGATCAAGAAGTTCGAGAAAATTGATAAGTATTGTTAAGTATTAAGAGAGTATTAGTAGAGTATTCAATTAAGAGTCATAAGAAGTATTAGAAATCTTCCAAAATTCCAGAAAATGACACCATTTTCTAAGAAAATCCAAAAGCTGAAATTTGGCGTCAGCCAAAATAGCGATTTTGTATCAATAGAAAATAATAGTATAGGAGATGGTGCGACCTCGGCCATTGTTGGAAATAACATCATATTCCAAAAATTTCTCAAAACCGAAATTTTCAACTGATTGAAAAATTTTTCAGCCGACTTGCGATTTTGTATCAGGAAATCATCATAACATAGAAGATGGCACTATTTCGTTAAATGTTAGGATTTGATGTCATTTCTCAGAATTTTTGAAAACTATTCCTTTTTAAATTTCGCGTGTTTTTAAATATTTTTTGAGTTCACCTTTTGATTTTCTATGGAACTGTATATACTATTATACTATTATAAAAAGATGATCATACAGAAGCTGGCACATTCTATTATAAAGTAAAGTAAGATATTCTATTTATTTTGTAATGTGATTTTTTAATTGAAATATTACAATATGAATTTCATTAGAATGCAAATTACTAAATGTAAAAATAAATAATCATGATTAGACTGTAGATTTTGATATGCAGTCGTATTTTTGAGAACATTTGTAAGTAAAGTAGTAAAAAAGCAAAATCTCGATAGAAAATTGGCTTGGAAAATATCAAGTACTAGGTCAGATGACTCATTTCTGTTCTGTTGATCTCTGAAATTGTCTCTTATGCAAAATCTTTATGACTGTAGCGGCACAAGAGTTAGAATTTGTTTTAAACCATGTTGTTGTTTTGCTTCGGAGTATCAAGACCGTTAGATCACAGGTATTGTAAGGAGTTACGAACTCCGGGCAAAACAATGGCGCCGCTACATGTAACCGTAAAGCAAGACGAATTTGTATCTCTTGATCTTCTTCTGACGATTATAAATGATTATAAATAAACAAACGTGATCGCAAGCGATTTAGTATAGACTGTGACTAAACGACTGTATAGATATCGTTTCGCGACAAGATCTGTTTTAAATACAATAACGAGTACACAT